GGACCACGTCGATCCTCATGGTTGGCGGCTCGTGGTAAAACAGTATATTGCACCAGTGAAGCAGTGCTACAACTGTCTGAGGTATGGCCACTTAGCAAAGTACTGTAAAAATTCTGTGAAATGCTCAATTTGTACTGAAAATCACAGCTACAAAGATTGCCAAGTCTCTTCAGATAAAGCGATATGCATACATTGCAAAGGAAACCATCTAAGCATTTCTGGACAGTGTCCTGTTAAGAAACAAAAGATAAAAGAAAATCAGGCTAAATTACACAAAACCCCGTTTGTAGACCTTTTTAATATAAACGAATTCCGCGAATAAAACAAAAAAAATCCTAAAGATGCTCTTATGTCGCTGCTAAAGAATGATGACATTATTAATATAATTTTAAATACAAAAAAGTATGAACTCTTAATAAATCAAATGAATAAACCACCATATCTTCTCAGCTTGTTAAAGATGTTCTCATTGATACAATGAAACCAAAATAGATATTTCATTATTTAACATTTAATATTTTTTGGATCAGTTTAACATTTTACAATGGAATGCAGAGTTTAATTAAAAATCGCTTTCAATTTACACAATTTTTATATGAGAACACTATAGATGTTGCTCTCATATGTGAAACTTTGCTTCAACCTAGGCACAATTTTAGAGTAAAAGGTTATAATATTATACGATTAGATTCAGGTAATGATCATAATGGAGTAGCAATACTTCTACATAACAAAATTGGATTTCGTGTTATCAATACATTCTCCGATGACTCATTACAAAATATAGCTGTACAAATACAATATAATGATAAATTATTAACTTTAGTTAGTGTTTACTGTCCCCCTAATTCACCAATTAATTATAATAAATCCAAATTAGATAATTAAATCCAAAGTTTGCCACAGCCAGTCTTTATAGCTGGTGATTTCAACGCCTATCACACGTTGTGGGGATGTACTGAATTGGATTCACGAGGTAGGGAAGTTTTTGCAAGTCTAGATGACAATAATCTTGTATTCTTGAATGATGGTCACATGACTACAGTAGGATCTCATAGATGGAGGCAGAATGCATTAGACTTGACACTTGTTTCATCTTTACTGGCTCTGTCTTGTGAGTGGCAAGTATGTGATGATTATTCTCTAGGCAGCTATCATTTTCCTGTAAAGACGAAAATTACGGTCAATAATCAAAATTTTCAAGAAACAGCTGTATCAAATGACATAAACTTAAAATTGGTAGATTGGTCAAAATATCCAAATTTAATAGATAATTTAATTAAAAATTATAGTTTTGATTATAGTAATCATTTACATTGTTATACAGATTTAATAGAACTAGTTAAACAAGTCATGCATGAATCAACACCATCCAATCAGTCTTCTAATCGAAATGTTAACATCAACTTGCAATCTCTTAAAAGAAATAAAAAAAAATTCTCTACCTTGGTGGAATTTAAAATGCAAAGAGGCATTATTAAATTTTAAAAATGCATATTTAGTGCTTATAGTTAAATTTACAATTAAATGGTGAATCGAAAATGAACTTAGTTTAAAGGTAGGTCCTTTCCTTTCGAAAATTTGGGTTTGACTGACATCAGTCAGCATGACCGTGTTATGTCGAAATTATTCTATCATTCAAACGTCAATCATGATTGATCGAACTGATTGACGCTTGCCTAGGCGTGTAATGGGCGTCTATGATGGAATGCACAGCCCATAATTATTGTATCATAGTGGCTCTCTATTCCCTTCAGACCACAACACTGCAGCTAGGCAACTGAAACCGGCAAGAGAGCCCTACCATATAGTAAAATACTGATTTAGAAATAGACACAACATCAAGAGCTATTTTACGTAATGGATTAAGCCTATTTGTTTATACCTAAATCCGTTAAGGAACAGGTGGGTGTATGGTGTTAGGATCTTTTAGCTTCAAAAGTGGAGAACTAATTCTCTGTGATCATATAATTATTTTATGTAAACCCTACGGAAGTTTATTTCGGCTCCTCAAATCCATATTTACATATTTCATTAGCGCCTGATGATTTATATACTGCAATGACAATTAACTGCAACGAATGCTATTTATAAAATTTGAGGTCAATGTAATTATTAAAGTTCAATTTAAGTCTAGAGGTTTTAACTTATATTATTTGCATAAAGTAATAAAGTAGCAAATCAATGGCTTTTAGGTGGAGCAAAGTTCTATAGATATCTGGCATCTTCATTTGTGATACATGAGGAATAATTTATTTGAATGATCCTTTTACGTAGTAGAGCCAAGCTGCAGCTATATTTATAGTACAGTTGTAGCACGAATGGATCGGCTCAACCGGGAAAGGACCACGCTCTCACAGAATACCAGCATAAAATAACAGCTTGATGCTGTTGTGTTTCGTATGGTTAGTTTAGGTAACCGGAGACCCTTCTTATTGGAACCAGGCATTATATCTTAGTCCTCAGGGGTGACAACGCGTCTGAATTTTAATTCTTAACCGAGAATAAATGTAGATGTTTATGGACCACAGCATCCACTTATCATCAGGTGGACTGTGTGCTCGTTTGTCACTCCATTCTATAAAAAAAAACAAGTCCGTGCTTTGTTGCTGGCTGTGTTTTTGCCGAAATATTGAAAATAATGGACAATGTCTAACAAGATTCATTCAAAAGTCCACTGCTGAATATATAGGCCCGTGAAGGTTGCCTTATTGATAGGATTTTTACTATAATTGCCAAACTTGACCACCTTGACAGGCGAATTGGCAACCGCGGTTCTTTTGAGGCATATGAGGAAGGAAGTGCATCACCTATTTCATTTTCATTTATTACGTCTTACGACAGAATAATGTGTCATAAGAGGTAATTCATCAATTTAATGTGCTACTTATACATATTACTACTCTAGTGACATTCATATTTTTTTAGTTTTACGTGCAAAAATGCTTACCGTGTATTGTCGTTGTGAAAGTATCCACTACCCCACATCGTCCCGTGGGTATCGTTAAAAGCGATAGAGGGAAACAAATCCGGAGAAGTCTTGAATTATGGTTGATGATACTCATGAACCATTCTTCAAGACAGGCAGTAACGCTCTATTGAAGAACTACAATACAAATTCATAGTTCTTCGAAAAAAAAAATATAAACGATCGAATTTTCATTTAATAAAGTAATAAAACAGGGGGGTTGATAGGGCTTCGCGTGAATAAAATGCGGGCATTTTGCGCTCCAAATGGGATTCATTATAATATAGAAGCTAGATAGAAATAACACAATATAAAAGCTCATAGTAACAAGAAGAAGAAACTACCAGAAAAAGCTCTGGCGAAATAGTGAATTAATAGGAAAATCACTCACTTGAACGTCCTCCCAGTCGAATTAAGATAGGATGTCTGTATTCTCATTTCACTACAAATATACCAACCATAGTCAAAATACTACCTACCACTGATAAAAGGGGGAAACAGTATAAATTATTTTGATTTGGTTTAGCAGTTTGCGATATGTCGCTGTCACATCATTGCACAAAGAGGCAAGTGCCAAAAATTGCTGTAGTGAAATTACGATCTTAAATATGCCAGACCTACATTATATAGCCTGCTAGCTGGCAGCAAAGTTTATGGTAAGAAATAGTAGCTGGTACGATCACCGGTCACGCCAAGTACCTGTCAGTGTGAAGGCACCAAACTACATAATATTATGTCAAGTAATTCACTACAAAACACTGAAATGACAAACAATTTCACAGTCTATCTGATGGTAAGTGACACACATAGACATCTGCAACGAACGTCAAACAAAGAAGACTATAAATACGTTGTCATCTAAGAAGGAATGCACAGCCCATAATTATTGTATCATACTGGCTCTATATTCCCTTTAGACCAGAACACTACAGCTAGGCGACTGAAATCGGCAAGAGCGCCCTACCATATAGTAAAATACTGATTTAGAAGAACAACAAGACACAACATCAAGAGCTATTTTTATGTATTGGATTAAGCCTATTCGTTTATACCTAAATCAGTTAAGGAACAGGTGGGGGTTTGGTGTTGGGATCTTTTCGCTTTAAAATAGGAAAACCCATTCTCTGTGATCATATAATTATATTATCTAAACTCAACGGAAGTTTATTTCGGCTCTTTAAATCCTTATTTACATATTTCATTAGCGCCTGATGATTTATATACTGCAATAACAATTAACTGCAACGAATGCTATTATAAAACTTGAGGTCAATGTAATTATTAAAGTTAAATTTAAAAAAAATCGCAAAGTCTAGGGTTTTTAACGTATATAATTTGGATAAAGTAATAAAGTAGCAAAACAATGGCTTTTAGGTGGGGCAACGTTCTATAGAGATTCTGGCATCTTCATTTATGATACATGAGAAATAATTTATTTGAATAATCCTTTTACGTGGTAAAGCCAAGCTGCAGCTATATTTATAGTACAGATGTAGCCCGAATGGGTCGGCTCGACCGGGAAAGGACCACGCTGTCACAGAATACCAGCGTAAAATAGTTGCTTAATGGTACTGTGTTTCGTATGGTGAGTGTAGAGAAACGGATACCCTTTTTACCGGAAAAGAGGCATTCCATCTTAGTCCTCAAGGCTGACAACGCATCTGCATTTTGATTCGCAAACGAGGATAGATGTAGATGTCTATGGGCCTCAGTAACCACTTGCCGTCGGGTGGACTGTGTGCTCGTTTGTCACCCTATTTATATTAAAAAAAAATCAACTGTTTTACATAATATGTGCTATTTATAAGGCTGCTGGTATGCTAAGATACAGGATTGATTACATAATGTTAGGAATCACAGCATCCACGTGTTTGTAGAGTTTTAATAAAGATCAATATAGGTATGTATAAATAATAGGACTATGATAACAATAATAACGAGCTAATATAATGATTTATTATTATATATATTATTATAGTTACAATTCAAGTTTATAGATCAATATTCATGGATAATTTATTTCACTAATGGGTTAATTTTCACCCACCACTGTATGTTGATAATCTGATGGAGTCAAATTAGCCATAACTTCTCGAGAGAGGTCTTTGTATACAATCGCAATTTTATCTTGTACCTGCTTCCTAAGTTCCTCCACGTGGTCTAGACTAAGGCCTTTTGTAGCTATAGGTTCCAAGCATTGGATAACGATACGACCTACAACAATTTTTAATACAATATGAAATTTAATCTGAAAAAGTAACATTATTCACATATAATTGGATTCCGAGATCGTATTGAAATTTATATGAGATCAATCATCAAGTATATAATATACATGCTCCTTTTTCTCTTTGCAAAATCGGTTAACTAACCTCTATGTTATTATATTACATGCATTAAAATACAATCAGTCTAATAAAGAACATGGAGCAAGTCATTTTTAAGTTAGATGGAAAGGAGCGACATTTTTGGCTCTAACAGCACGGCGTGCCAGCAAACCATGCTACGTCGCCCAGTTCCTAGAACAATTGGCCCAGATTTATACATTCAAGCCGAACATTGATTATTTATAAAATGTATGATAGTTTTATGTAAGGATTTCTTATATTTACGCGAATACTACACGTTTAAGTCCCGACGTTTCGGGTGCTTTACAGCCCCCAACACCCATGGTCGCGGGGGGCACTGAGTGTTTAACGCCCCGATGTTACAGTTAGCCCGGCTACCTTCAGCTTTTGAATATTATTTTTTGGTACGATCTACGCAGAACGAGCTTACAGAATCTTGAAGTCCTGCATTGGTATGCTTCGGTTTGGATTTAATTTTATTAATTATAGGACGGTAGCAACCATCCATCTTCTCTATTGAAATTAGGATGTTTTTAATTTCAATAGCTTCGCCTTTTGCGGCGGCACGATGCAACTGAGCGGACGATCTTGAACACGTTCACAGACTGCAGACTTCCTAGAGCGTCGGTGGTTTACGATAGCTATATGTTTTTTTACGCCGGCCACATTCACCATTAAGCATGTTCACTCCCGCATCTTGTAGAGCGATATTACACTTGGCAGATGGTAAATATTACACTCGGCAGATGGTGAGCATTGACTTATCTTCTTCGGCGGCTTGTAGTATTTTTTAATGGAAGCTTGCTTCGATTTTTCAAGGTTTTATGTAATTTGTAGGATTTTTGCTTAATTATGGCCGATTTTCAATATCGTTAAGAACTTGCAAACGCTATACGGCTGAATATATTAAAAATATTATTTTTAACAGTAGGTTGGGTCCCACATTAATATGAAAAAAAAAATCCGCCCAAAAGTAAAAAAAAGTGGGACTTTACTCGTAACTGTTCGATATTAAGATTTCAGAAGCTATTGTGTGGAATTAAAAAAAATTGTAGTCGGTTCTACTTTTTATCTATAAGTTAATTATATAATAGTATTTTCTTTGATTCTCCTAAGATTTATACCTCTTAAACTTTAAAGTTCTGTCTTTCTTTACTTCTTATCAGGTCATCAAACAGCCAAGCACAGCAGGCTGATTTTCGAGTTTCACATAATGCACTGACGCGCAAGCCCATCATCTTTGGTAGTGGGATAATTTGTAATTAGACGATGAAGAGAGAAGATTGGGTAGAATTTAGAAATTGAGCGAAGATTCCAAAATTATAATAGCATGAATATTTTGGGATTCAAATGACGCAAACACTTCAGGATAGTGATGCTTTTGTCGTTAACGTGAATAGCTTTGAAGTTTTTCACACATAGTCATAATCATATCTATACATATAATAAATCTGTAGAAAAGTCGTGTCTGTAATTCTAATATATTCTTGAAAAAACAAGTCCAGGGGACTAAATAAAGGATTCTCAAGCCAAATCAGTGGTTTTTAGAATTTTTGTCTGTCTGTCTGTCTGTCTGTGTATTCCGGATTCACGCAAAAACCACTGGACCGATTTACATAAAATTTTGTATGTAGGTAGTTAGTAACCCGGGTCAACTTATAGGCTACTTTTTATCCGATTACGGAACTTCAAAAAAAGAAGGTTAAGTATTTTCCTTCCTTTAAATGTTAATTTTCTATTATATATTAGTTATAGGCGGGATAACGGGTATTTTTCAAATATTTATAAATCAAATATTAATAATACCATATATCATATTTATAAATAAAGTTTAAAATATAGTTATAAACTTGGTAAAATACACTGATGTAGTTATCAAAATAGCGCCATCTATCTTCAAATGGAAAAATTAGTATATTTTGCCTTCAGTTACTAATAAATTAGATAATATAAATAAAAATATGTATATGTTTAAATAATAAGATTTTTAAAATTATTTAAAAATTGTAACGTTTAGTTTTTTAGTATTTTTGTTATTTTATTTTAAAAGTGTAATAATGTCAATAGATAATAGTGACATCTATCAAAAATATGAAAATTGATAAGGTTTTTATTTCAATTATACTAATCTATATGTAAACTGATTAATACTGGTCTGTTTGCAAAATTTTCATTATCTTTATAGCTTTATTAAACATATTTTAAACATATTTTTATATATGTCGTGACCAGATCGTAGAATTGATCATATGCCTATCATAAAGTAGTCTATCATTTCGTGAAATGGTGTGGTCATTTCATGATATTTAGCACTGTTTGTTGACCACCTCATGATATAGCTTGACAAAAAAATTTTATATTAATTACATTAGAAATGAATAAACCAAACTATAAATATAACTTAAAGTAGAAAAATTTAAAAAAGAGTTATAAAGTGCAAAAAATTAAAAATCAAACCACTGACTCAGTGTTGTATATTAATATAATACTCTAGATACTCTACTCTAGATAATGATAAACTATTATTTAAAAGTAATTTCTCAATTAACTGACACTATGTAACGAAAAACTTTACCTCAGTCACAACTAGCGACATCTGGTGAGTGGAAGATTATTAGCCCTCATTAAATAATAGAATGTTACTGAATTACGATGTAAATAATTAAAAATTTGTTCGTGGCATCGTTAGAAGGGTAATTACTAGGTAGATGTGGTCAAAAATCATACACAAGCTTAGTTTTAGTTTTTAGAAATTGTATTTAAACAAATACGAGGGCCGTGTAGCTCTCGCCGTGAGATTTCATCGTAGCACGGGAGCAAAACTGTTATAGAAAACTTTACGTGCTGACTTAACACGTGTCCGTTAAAGTGGTAACGAATAACTTCGTGGGGAAACCTAGATGTCTGAGTAATTAAATTAGTTGTGGAGATGTAAAAACAGTTAATATTCATTAAAGCATTGCAGTATATTCTATTTTTCTGCCCACAAAACACTATAGGTAATGATGAGCCCTGTGGACATTAGTGAGACGTATATTAGCTGCTACTTCACTTTTTTTACGAGACTTATAAATCAGTTTGTAAATTAAAATAGCTTTCATATTTTCAAACACATTAAGATATATTTGATATAGTCCTGGTTTCATAGCTCATATGAATACCTATATGTAAATGAACAGGCTATTGCGGAAAAATACTTACTTACTAATTAAAGAAAGCCGGTTTTACTTAAACAAAGGTTCATTTTATTTTACTTGTCAATGGCGGTAATCAAACTGATTAAAACTTAAATTTCATGGTACGTAAGCATTATTATATATTTTAGCATATATTTGAATTGCAAATTGGAATGTCAATTTACCACATTTTTGGCGGTAAAGGAAAACAGAAGTTTCGCAGTTGAGGACATCCCGCGTTGGAATTGCGCAGCGAAGACTTTTGGCCAAAAACTCGGCGGCCTGTGCCCAATAGTAACATGTATGTAAGCTGCTACTTTTTTACTTTTCATGGGGCAATAGTATATGCAGTATTTATTTCATTCATATTTTCGAGTATGTTACTTTTTTGTTTTCACTCTACCGTAATTATTAAGGGTTGCAAAAATGAGTAGAACTCATTATCGTCAGCCTATCAAAAGTCCACTGAAATGAACTTAGGCCTCCCCCGTAAATTGTCAAGTAGCTGGATATTTGCTATAGTTGCCACGTTTGGTAGGCGGGTTGGCAACCGCAGATATTATTATTTAGATACATCTGTTGGCAGGAAAATGATGATGCCCATCTCCTGTTTGTTTTCCTATGTCGCCTCTTACGACAGGACGATATGAGGTGGCGGATTCTCTTTCACCTCCACAACAAGACGAACATTTTTTTACTCCCGTTCATGAGTGTAGTGATTCCCACGTTCACTTTGAATAAAATTTATAAGCAATGACTAATAATTTTAATAAATAAGTAAAATAAAAATAAAACTAATTTTAAGGATTTTATCGCGTTTAATTTAAACTTTTTTAATTCCCGATGTTTTGGGCACTTTACAGTACCCATGGTCACAGGAGGACTAAGGTGTTTGACGACCTGATATCATATTTAGAATAGAATAGAATAGAATAAAAATAGAAATGAATACAATAAATAATAGTATGCTTGGGTTTGAATTTAATTTTATTAATTACTAGCTGTTCCCCGCGACTTCACCCGCGTGTAATTTAGGATTTTAATTATGTTGCGCGGAACCTTAAGCGTTTTTCTAAAATATAAGTAGCCTAAGTTACTTCCTATAACATCAGCTATCTGCCAGGTCCAGCCGTTTCGGAGATTAGCCGGAACAAACAGACAGACAAAAATTTTATAAATTGTGTTTTTGTTATAAGTAACTACCGTATATACTTTCATATACATTTAGTAAAAAGCTGTTATTTTGACATTACAAACAGACACTTCAATTTTATTTATTTGTATAGATAGGGTCCTTAGCAGATGATAGCACTCAGCCATCTTCCATTTTAAAATTAGGATGTTTTTTAATTTCAAAAGGCTCGCGAATCATCATTGGTAGGAATTGGTGTTCTATTGCAAGGATTTGTTGTATATCAGATCCGATATAATGGTTGGGACGATACTAAACATATTGACATACTTTTATTCTTCCCGGAGCGTCGGTGTTTCACATCAACGATGTGTTCTTTTAAGCGGGTTTTTATGGAACTTTCATCCAAAGATGCGTAAAAAAGTCCCACGTAAAGAAGTTAAAATTAAACGTGATAAAATCCGTAACATTAGTTTTATTCCATGTATAGTATACTGTATACTAAATTTTATAATTTCATAAATGCAGTTCTATAATGATGTATACTGTATTCATCACTATAGAACTGCATTTATGAAATTTTATAGTCTACTCGAACGTAAAAAAATATTTACATCTATTTTATGGTGCCGATCAATATGAAATATCTCAAATAAACATTATCCCGTAAACTGATAGAAGACCTTGTTAAAACTAAATTAACTTTAAGTAAATAAATTAATGTAAAGAGTAAAATGTAAATAATAGATAATAATACATTTTCATTCCGAGACAAAACACCTTTCTTATGGATACATCGGAATACATGCCCAATATAAAAAATAGTAGGTGTTTTCTATACATATAGGTAAATTCACGTGTTCCTGTAGCATATTATATCTATACATAAATATACATAATCTATGCATAATGTACGTCTAATAGTCTTTTAGAATTAAAAAAAAAATCTTTGACAGACATAGAGACACAGACACTGAGGTGACTCTAATAGCGATCGAATTTTTCTAAATTTGCCACGGAATAGTATTTAATGGCGTTCCTAAATACATGCTCACGCGAGCGAAGCCGCGGGTAAAAAGCTAGTTCATACAATATATTTGTTTTATCTAGACGATTGCTCATAGCTATTCTAGGATTCGATAGATAGCGCTGTAGTCAAGTTGTTAGTTAATTCTGTATTTATGGATAAACTGACTCGTATCTGAGATATTATACTGCTTTAGTGTTTAGTCGCTTTGGTCGGTTGATTAATAAATATTGTAAGAAGTCCGGAGCGAATTCAAAATGAACCGAGTCAACGAGTACCTACCGGAAAGAGCAGGATAACATCGGCCGTGAGTTAGTATATTATAAACTAGCTGTTCCCCGCGATTTCACCCTCGTGTAATTTAGGTTTTTATTTTTTTTTGCGCGGAACTCTAATTCTTTTTCTAAAACAAAAGTAGCCTAAGTTAATCCTTATAACATCAGCTGTCTGCCGGTGAAAGTCCCATAAAAATCGGTTCAGCCGTTTCGGAGATTAGTCGGAACAAACAGACACAAAATTGTGTTTTTGTTATAAGTACCATATATACTTTCATATGCATTTAGTGAAAAGCTGTTATCTTGACGTTACAAACAGACACTCCATTTTTATTTATTTGTATAGATAATGTATTTATTGTAAAAATAAATATTCTAAAAAATTTATGGATATGCATTTTCTTACCATTTTTAAAAAATTCTCTTTATCTACTTATAACGTAACTAGCTGTACCCCGCGACTTTGCCCGCGTGTAATTTGGTTTTAATTTTCTTGCTCGGAACCCTAAATCTTTTTCTAAAATAAAAGTAGCCTAAGTTACTCCCTATAACATTAGCTATTTGCCAGTGAAAGTGCCGTCAAAATCGGTCCAGCCGTTTCCGAGATTAAACTGCACAAACAGACAAACAGACAGACAGACAAAAATTAAAAAAAAATAGTTTTTGTTATAAGTACCGCATATACTTTCATATGCATTTAGTAAAAAGCTGTTATTTTGACATTACAGACACATCCATTTTATTTATTTGTATAGATGTGGTGAGAATGCACCTACCGGAAAGGGCAGGACAACATCTTCCGTCAGCTAGTATATTACAAATAATGTTTTTATTGTAAAAATAAATATTCTAAAAAATATTATGCTTATGCATTTTCTTACCATTTTTCAAAAATTCTCTTTCTTTACTTATAAAATAATATGGTGAGAATACACCTACCGAAAAGGGCAGGATAACATCTGCCGTCAGCTAGTATATTACAAATAATGTGTTTATTGTAAAAATAGATATTCTAAAAACTATATACTTATGCATTTTCTTACCATTTTTCAAAAATTCTCTTTCTTTACTTATAAAATAATATGGTGAGAATACAACAGGTATGATTGGGACTTGAGCTGCAATAGCCATCTTGAAGGCTCCCTTTTTGAATGGTAATAAGCGTGTGTAATCTCTATTACGTGTACCTTCAGGAAACAGCCAGACCTTGGTCTAAAATAAATATATTATATTAACGATTAAAATATGTAAAATGAACAGTTTATAATAATTATTTTGTGTACGTGTGCATATACGTTTACATGTTTGATAATAACTCCAAGGAAGGAGGTGGTCGCTTCCAAGCTGTTTCTACAATAGGTTCTGTAATTAGTTGGTTCAACCATTTTTATTGTATAACTAGCTATTCCCCGCGACTTCGCCCGTGTTACCATTGGATTTCATGGGTTTTAATTTTTTTACGCGGAGTCCTAATTCTTTTATTTAAATAAACCAGCCTAAGTTACTCTTTATAACATCAGCTATCTGCTAGTGAAAATCCCGTCAAAATCGGTCCAGCCGTTTCGGAGATTAGCCGGAACAAACAGACAGACAGACAGACAAAAATTTTAAAAATTGTTTTTTTGTTATAAGTACCGTAAATACTTTCATATGCATTTAGTAAAAAGCTGTTATTTAGATATTACAAACAGTCATTTCAATTTTATTTATTTGTATAGATTTACTTTGAAAAAATAAAAAAGTCCCGCTAGGTTTCTTGCTGGTTCTTTCCAGGACAGAGGTTTTTTTCCGAACCAGTGGTAAAAGTAAAAATTACTTGCAATAAGAATTACATGGAGTCTATATTAAATAAAAAAAACTATTCTATTCTATAAGTATAATATATGGCTTCTGGTGTATCTTTAACTCTAATCTTTAACCTAACAGTTGCAATTAATATTTTAAATACAAAAAAAGCTACTAAGAAATCAGTAAAGCCTTTATTAAAATTGATGTTTGATTTGCTATATATGCAATTACGAGAATATTATTATAGAAACATCATGACATGGTTGTACATGGGCCTCTCTCATTGTAATAATTTAAAATTTAAAATTTTGTACAACCGACTTCAATATAAATTATTAAGAATAACTCAAAAACTATTTGTCAGACCTTGATCAAATTTATATCGGACTACATCTGAAGCACCAGCTTCCAAATAAAAAAAGAATCATCGAAATTGGTTCTCCCAGTAAAAAGTTATGAGGTAACACACATAAAAAAACATACAGTCGAATTGAGTACCGTCTCCTTTTTGAAGTCTGTAGAAAAGGATCAGCTGTACTCGCTACATTTAGACGGCGATTATTGGATATCTGTTACTGTTCTTGTATTCGGGGAGACGCCAGGGAGAGTAACAGACATCCACTCACTGAACTCACAACATTTTTAACAATATATTATAGCAACTAGTAACAATAATTTATCATTCGAATATCCTGGTTATGTCTTCATTTGATTTTAGTAGTGTGCATTTATTTCTAAATTATACCTTAATTTTTCTTTACCTTTCCTTTAACCATAACGTTTGTAGTAGCTTGAAGTTGATAATAAGCCCGTTCAGGATTTTTTCTGTCTATAAAAATAAATCCGGCAAGGTAAGCTACTAGCCCAAACGGCATAAGGTATAATAATTCCTTTTTCACAACCATCGTCAATTTATCTACCACTTCCCAAATGTATATCAGTCCTAAAAATAAAAGGATAATAAGTGATTATTAAAACGCATGGACACATGTAACGAATTTTGAAGTACGGATGCATTGTCACACCCTAATTAGTATACTATGAAGGGCGTTCAATGTATTCTCGGTATTAGGGTGATTTGCTAATAATGTGGGTAATTAAAAAAATGAGTAACGATTAGGCATGCGCGCCGCGCCGGCGCCGCCGCGCCACGCCGCGCCCAGCCCACGCCGCGCCGCGCCGACAAATCCGATCGGCGCGCCGTGAACCAACGCGGGACGGGCGTGTGGGCGCGGGGTCAATAAAACCATGCAATTATTTAAAAATTCAAAAATCAATAAAAAAATGTAAAAAGATCGTAAAAATCGTTCGGTATCGCTTACCGGAATTGAAGCGAGCGGCGGAAATAGAACAAATTAAATTTTTACAGTCTCTGGAGCGCGTATCAGAACTTTCAGTATGTATATAAAAAGTACTCTGTGATCAGAACATTTGCTACTAGCACGCCTAGTGAGCGCGTTTTTTCTATAGTGGGACTAACTGTGACTGCTAAAAGATCTAGACTAAGCCCAGTACACGTTAATAAAATTATTTTTATTAATGATAATTATACATTGTGCAAAAAACACAATTTTAATTTCCTATAGTTTGTGCAAGAAACAAAAAAATGTGCTTTTTCGTTTTTGCACAAATTATAAGGTATAATTAATTAGAACTTGTTTGGTTTGTTTTTATTTTGAGAAATTAAATTTGAATCCCTATCCAGGTCTATGTTTCACTTGTACTACCTTATTTTAAATAAATGTTTATAAAAATTAAAATAAAATACGGCCGCGCCGGCGCGGCGTCGCCACGCCGACCACAATGGGTCGGCGCGCCGCCGCCGCCGAATTCTTGCTCGGCGCGCATGTCTAGTAACGATACTAAATGACTGTATAAATATGAAATTTCATCTAGATAACTTCATTGCTTCTTATGTAATATTCAGACATAGGCAACGGTAATGACTGACTCGACAATGTTAAAAAAATCGAACATCGTGCGGTGATTAAAGTCCTCTCTAAACAACTAAACAAGGAAAAACTCAAAAAACGAGGACTTTACCGAGGGCGTGACGTTTCGTACTCATATTGTACAGGTGTGTAAAAAGGCGTTTAAAAACCTGGGATTCATAATGCGTGAAACGCATGACTTCCTCAACACTGCCGCCGTGAAATCATTATATAATGCTTTAGTAAGAAGCAATCTAGAAACTGGTGCTATCATCTGGAGTCCTTATGAGACCAAGTATAACCTCATGCTGGAGAAAATACAGAATAAGTTTAACCGGTACCTCCATTTAAAGCAATACGGAGTGTACCCTTTTTATCCTCTTATGTATCCAACCCTTTTTGTAATAGGAATGGTTGGATATTATAAGTTGGAGGTTAGACAGAACTTTGCGCTACTACTTAGTACATATACTTGATATTACGTGGTAGATTAAACAATCCGGAAATTCTGGAATCACTGCGGTCCCTCGTGACGTCTTTTTGTTTACTAACTTAATTTTATAAAAAAAGTAATAAAAAAAAGTAAATAGCAGCTTTGAGGTGTTTTTCACAAAAACAAGTTTCTAAATGTTTCACCCATGGACCTCTTTGCAACTTAATCAATCAATCAAGATGTCTTTAGAGATGGTGTATTCTCCAAAAGAAAGTAAAAAGAAAACCATATCAAATCGGAGCTCAGCTGTTTGTCCGCAGAAAAAGGAAAGAAAATATTAAAAATCATATAAAACGATGAAAAATGCATACCCAAGACATCAAAAGTCGACTGATGGTTGGAAACAATGACGGCTCCACGGTCCTCAGCCAATATTTCAGCTCCACGTAGTTCCCATTTTACGTCATAGAGTTTGGTGATATGTTTAAAAGTACCTATGAAAAACCTGTAATTCATTTAATCAAATCAAAAGTGCTCCCAGGTAGGAAGTCTAAACTATTTCAACTATTGATTTTTAAACATAAAAATAACTGATAATGACCAAGAAAGCTACGAATGTGTCACCATAATATTTCTGATGATCTAGCAACCTTGTAAAGTTGAACAGAAATGACTACTATTCAGACCATAGATTACTGTATATATACTAGATTCAGACACATGAAAGTGTATTCCTTGTTGTGTTATCCAGTATAAATTGTACTTAATCCTACATTGTTAAAAAATTTTCATCTACCGTGATAAGTTTCTTTTACTACCAACAGTGATCAGTAACGTAGGACATTTGTACAATGACTTTACTACATAAATCATCAGGAAACTACAACATTATGGTGTATAAACATTGCGCTTTGACTTATTATTTCAAATTTTAACGACTGGTTTCGAAAATGCATTTTCGAAGGTATGTTTTCTTCCAGGGATATTTTCTCGGCTCATTGTTCTTAAGACTTACCTTACCTTGAAGGAGATAACCACAATATAGAAAAATTTATTATTTTGATGATACTTCATTGATTGTCAAATTCAGACGGCAACCATTAAATTATGATGATATGAAAAATGCTTTGACAAAATTAAAATAAATTAAAGAAATGTACTAAATATAACACCTAACGTTAAACAATCGAACTTAGTAGAAATTAACCAATATAGTTTTAAATGGGCAAGTTATAAATCAAATTTTAAAAAGACACTCAGAGAAAAATCGATTCGTGATGAATCGTTAATTATCGTGCTTAGCTGTTGAATTGAAAACAGAGAAAATGTTCAATGCTTGTCAGTCAACATTCAACAAGTTTAAAAGTTTTATTAAACAAAATTGTATTAAACGTTTATTAAAATATTATGGAAATATTTGGGAATGAGGTGATTGCTAAAAAGCTTTTTATATCTGTAATTAGCTTGTCATATAAACAATTGTGTAAAGTTTTAATTTTGTTAACTTTGCTAGTTCTTTCCATGACTATTGGAATTCGAGGTATTTTCAAAACTAGTAGTGAATTTAAACAAAATAATACTTTTTATATGTAGGTATTATGAATAATTTATACTCTATAAAAATATTCTATTATATGCAATTATGTATTTATTAAGACTGATGTGACGGATGCCGATATAACGTATGCTATGTATGTATTTCTAATCTATCTTGGTTTTCTCTGCAAGCGCGTTGTTGTTCTTTCTCAGTCCCGGGAGCCGCCTCATTCGTGCTGCAGCCATAAAAACTGCAACTTGGCTTGACAATAATATTGTTAAAATTGTAAAAAAATGTCAGATGACCACAGAACACAATTACTCTCTATCGGCCTGGTCAGACGTCAACAAGGCAGAGTCATTGAATCAGTGTTGATCCAGTCAAGAAACAGTTTGCATAAATGTAAGGAGACTAACCGGTCATGGAAACAATGTAAATTATTATCATTATTTATATCATTGTTTTATTATCTGATTATGATTTCAATAAGTAATTAAGTAACGTAATTAATTAAATGATATAGTATCTTCACAATGGCTCTATTGTTTTCGCTTTTTGTTTATTGTTATTTTTTGTTGTGAATAAAAATTTGTATCTAAATTTTTTTCAAAAAAAAAAGAATATTTTTCAATTAGGTATATCCAGTATCCTCGTCAGCGTAAGGTGAAGAGACAAACTCGGCGTTGCTTTTAATTTCGTATAACGGCCCAGGAACGCTTGGCGGTTAATTCTACTTAATAATATATAGAAAAGTTTGATAATACGTTACCGCATGCGGAGCCGATTCCCTGCGGGATTTCCGAATGGTTTATTATGCTTAAATATGTATTTCATTCGTGTTACGCACAGTAATACGGAATTGTTATCAAATCATTAAATTCTACTCGTCAACACTAACATAAATAGGGTAGTATTAATTTATCACGCAAAATATTTGCATTTCGTAGAAATGTTGTTTTTAATAATTTATATTTCTTAATACCAAAGGGGCCAAGTCCTTTTTTATGGTTTGCCAGTGCCAGTTATTTAGCTGTGGACTACGATACTATCCCCAACTTGTATCCTTTTCGGGGGGAGCGCGTTGTATATTTTGGCGCTCACCGCATACGGTGTTGGCCTGTGAGAAACTGTGTGCCTCCCTCACATTTTTTTTTTAAATGTGTAGAGTGAAGCCCTTGTATCAAGTACTTTTATATTAATATTGTGATCCTTTTCCAAGCGTGAAGGGATTAATTAATAAGGAACTGACTGTTGTAAACCTGATGCAAGTGGAAGAGGGACGATTTAATATTCTATTGAGCCCTTTCTTCGTGAACGGGGTTCTTTAGCATAAAATAATTATAAGGCAAGATTCTGATCTTTTTGCATTTCCTTTCGCATTTACCACGGGGAGTGCTCTGGGGAATTGTTCGAATTAATTCCAGCCGCCAAATTTCACGAACGCACATCGCGGTGTATCTCCCGATACCATCCACACCATCTGGATGATTGGCGGTCTACCACTGTGTGATTTAGATGTTTTCTTCCTCGCACAACTTCCTTGTGGAATCGATTACTATCAGCGATTTTTCCGGCCGATACGACTTAGGAACCTTCAAGAAAAGAGTCTACTCCTTTTTAAAAGGCCGGCAATGTATCTGCAATTCCCCTGGTTCCCCTGGCGTTGCAGTTGTTCATTGACGGCGGTAGTCACTTACCATCAGGTGAGCCGCATGCTCGTGCGCTCACTCTCCTATAAAATAAAAAACGTCAAGCAAGTATTGCAAGGCAACAAGCTTCGGGTTCCGCTCCGCACCTACTTCACAGTGACAGAAAGAAGCCGGCCACAGTCGAGCGTGTGCCTGCTGTACTAATCTATATCAGAGGAGTCACAGACAAGGTTGGCTACATTTTGAGGCGAGCTTCTATTAAAACATACTTCAAGCCGCCGAAGAATATTAGTCAATTTTTACCATCCGTCAAGTCTAATATCCTTCTACAAGATGTAGGAGTGTACAAGCTTGATTGTGAATGTGATCTCTCTTACATAGGACAAACAAAAAGATCCATTAAAACCCGCGTGAAAGAACATATAGCTCACGTGAGGCACCGACGCTCTGGGAAGTATGCAGTCTGTGAATATGTTCAAGATCGTCCCCGCCATTACATCAGATTTGATAGACCACAAATCCTCGCAAAAGAACACCGATTCCTATTAAGTATGATACGCGAGGCTATTTAATTAAAAAATAATAATATTTAAATAAAAAACAGATGGATGGGTGCTGCCATCTGCTTGGGTTTGGATTTAATTAACAAAATTAAATCCAAACCCAAGCATACCACTGTAAGACTTCGAGATACTGTTAGCGTCATTCTGCGTAGATCGAACCAAAAATTAATATTAAAATAACTGAAGGTAGCCGGGCTAAATGTGACATTGGGACGTCAAACATCTCAGTCCCCCCGTGACCTTGGGTTGTTGTAAAGTACACGAAACGTCGGGAATTAACATACTAAATTAAAGGCGATAAAATCCGTAAAAATAGTTTTATTCAACGACGTATGACCATCTGGCCTTTAGCTGAGATTTTAAACTAAATTTAGTTTATTTTATTTTATTTTTTATAATTATTTTAACTCATACCTTATAATTTAAAAAGGTGACCGCGCGCTGGGTTCCACGAATGTTAACACTTTCACTGTCCGGTTTTCAGACACAATAGTAAGACAAACACAGCGAAACGGTTAACAGACGCCCGAATGTTAAAAGAAATCAAGAGTTGGCATTTCAAAGCTACGTTTAGCAATAATTGAAGAATATCCGGATTCTTTTTGCGTTCGTTTCGTAACCGTAGATGAAACGTGGCTACACCATTTTGATCCGGAGACGAAAAACCAAAGCAAGTTGTGGAAAAGACCGTCTTCTCCGTCACCCCAGATAGTTAAAGTGTCTGCGTCCGCTGGAAAACGAACGACCTCTGCCTTTTGGGATGCAGACGGTATAATAACGATCGACTATAAAAGTAAAAGAGAAACCATAACCGGAGATTATTATGCATCATTAATCAAAAAACTATGCGAAGAACTAAAGAATAAACGTCGAGGAAAACTGCGTGTTGGAGTGCTTTTTCATCATGATGATGCCCCTCCCCATCGATCTGATATTACTGCCATGCAAAATGCTTAGTTTCAGTTGATGCACCCACCATATTCTTAAGAAAATAAAAAATAAAACAATTTTAATTTAGAGATGAAAAATCTATCTCATGTGGTGTCAATTGCCCATGGTATTTAGCAGGTCCTGCAGCAGATAAGGCAACAAAAGAACCTTAGTGTAGAGCCTGGTGGATTGTTCATTGATAAAATCTATCCTTTTATTTAAGCTACGCCTGGCGGACTAATTGGTGTTGACATGCAAGTAGAGGTGAAGTGTCATATTACAGAATCCAAAAAAGGCCTAATGAATGCAATTGACGCAAATAAAATAAAAATATTGAAATATGATACAAAATCTAACACCATAAAAATTAACAAAAAAATTGATTTTTACTACCAGGTACGGGGGCAACTACACGTGGCCGAACGGCAAATATGTCGGCTTGAAAAGATGAGGCATTAACGCGGTATACCGATTAGACATCTTTCTAAATGTGAAGCTTTCATCACTTTCACAGCAAAAATCGAACAATGCTTTTCAACCGGGCCTTGGAACACGTCCACTTGACTTCATGGAATTTGGTTTTGGTTGATTTGATACCCAATACTCATACTCTGTTGATGTCACATGGTTACCCGAGGAAGCAAGCATAATTTTCATTTATTTTAATTAGCCAAATATAATTTTTTTGTGTTCAAATATTTTACTTTTATTCTGAATGTTCAAAAGTTTTTGTTTTATTATATTATTGTGTGTGTAGTAAATATACATATACATTTCTGTGAACAATCTACCGGACCGTGTAGTGACGGTTAAAAGTATAACCATTATTCTTAACATTAACCCTATATCATCCCGTGGGTATCATAAGAGGCGACACAAGGAAAAAAGTCAGGAGATGAGCAGCATCGTCTCCCTAATAACCACTAAACAAAAACTGCGGTTGCCAACCCGCTTGTCAGGCGTGAAAACTATGGCAAATATCGACCCTATGAGACAATCTATAGGGGAGGCCTATGTTCAGCAGTGGACTTTTATAACCTGAAACGGTAACAGAATAACCAACCTTTGTTTCATTAGCAAGAGATCAAGTTGAACATTCGCTCTTACACTTATTTTTTTTAACAATTAACCTTCAGAGTAAATTCTAATGCGAGTAACATTCTTTTATTTTAAATAATTTTGAGAATAATTTCTAACATCAGAAGTGGACTAGTTTCTAAACATATTGTATCTAATATCTAATGCTTTCGACAGGTCCAAAAAACCATCACACACATGTATTTTTCATGCTATTTAATAAACTTAACGTATAAATTAGTTCATGAATATAAGCTGAAATACTTACTTCACTATTTTTACATTTTTAGGATAAAGGAAGAAAACGGGCCAAATCACTAATAAATAAATTAACGCGCTAAAATAAAATATGAAGAAATATAGGTGATATCGTATTTTGTATGGCGCACTATATAAATATTTTTTTAAAAATATCCAGGTATTTAAGAAACACACAGTGATTGACGAAAAAAAATCCCACATACTTTAGATTTTATAGAATTTACTTTATGGATCACGAGCAAATAGACTGAGAGTTAGAATAACTAACAAGAATAATTTTATTCAGTTGAAGTACATTTGAAGTTTGCGGGATAATTAACATAAACAATAATTTTCTTTGCATTAAATTTAAGCGAATAAAATGTATACTATATAATACTAGTGTTGCACAGTTACATTTTTAATATGATTTTTATGGGCTAAACGATTACGCTTGACAATAAAACCAAAAAATAAAAATGTATATTTTTTTACATGAGTCTATCAATTTGGAACCTGTCAAATCATAAAGAATAAGTTAAGACGTTAAGTGCGTTACCGGACATATTATATAGCCGGTAATGAACTTACCCGAGGTAAGAACGCCAAAAACTAGTTTTTCTCGCTCGTGCAGCGTCATTTTAGGTACGATATTCTGTGAGTTAAAATGAGACAAATATATATTATTGCTTCTAACTTTAAGACGGTCTTATTAAAATAGAAAAAAGATGCATAGCATATTTGCCCTGTACGCACAGAACGAAAATAATTTGCATTCAGTGTGATACCGTATGAATACGACTTGTATGTGCATGTTCGGTAACACACTGGTGGCGAGGGCGTATGCGTTTTAGTGAAGATCTGACCATCTGACCTCATTACCGTTTAGACGTTGTCGACATTTCTTTCATTTTCTCGCCCTTTATTTACGTAATAGTTACGACTTTAAATTCATAATGAAGCGCTCCCGAAAAATGTTGGCGCGTGTTTTCGAAGGAAAAATGGAAGATAATGATATTACATCCGACAGCACAAGTAAAAATCGAAAGATTTTCCCTCCTGGTAAGCAAATCAAAGTTTTGAAAGATATGAAGATTCCATCAGGTTTAGCTAAAGCTACATCACCTGGGCCACATACATTTCACCTGTCAACTACAAGCAAAATAATTAATCCAGGAAAAATACATATGAAAGTCCTTCTACTAGCAACACATATGCAGTATTACACAATGTCTGTTTTCCTGGATGTTCGAGTGAAGCTGGCTCACTTAGCGACTTATCGTATAATAATCTATTAAACATTGATTTTGGTGTCAGGTTGCTGACACCAAAATCAAAATTAAAATTACCGACCTAGGAACCAGCCACATTGCCATGATATCGTCCTAAAATTAATAAAAGACTTAGGTGGAAGCTGTAGAACTGTAATAGCCGATAATTACTATACCTCTGTGGGCTTAGCAGAAGATTTATTGAAGAAGAAAACTGAACTGTGTGGAACAATAAGAATAAATAGAAGAGGTCTACCTAAAAATGTTATATCTACTAAGCCGGACCATGAAAATCTTGTGTCTACGTTCATTGCGACCACCGTAGAATTTAAGCCGGTAAAAGACTAGCAACTTCTTTGATGTCCCTGCAGCAGAGTTTTCAAAAGTGTTTTTGCTTTACGCAAAAATGCGCATACCCTCCCTCCGAATGAGTACGTACTTTACCAAAGCGACTGGGCTTATTACCCGTTGGCTAAGGCTGGCCAAAAGACGTAAGGCCAGGCTGAGTTAGCCGCTTCGATTGCGCTTGTGAAGCGCGTCGACGGCCCGCGAAAGGAGCTGTGCCTCTTCCTCTGCCCCCCGCAGCCGAGATGGATTAGGCTCTTCTAGCGTTGTTTTATTCATATCATTTTATAAACTTTATATAAAAGATAAAGGAATTTTTGTAAGAATGTATTGAAAAACTAAAGTATAATTATTACAGAAACTTGCTGAAAGAAATAATTACAAGATTCGGCAGCATGAAAAATATATTGCATTTGTATCAAAATTGACGTGAATTAACATCTAAATTGTTACAAAATACTAATACGCTACGTCAGCAAATACAGCAAATAGTTAATTCGTGAACATCGCTTAAATCGCCTCGTGCTCTAATCCAAAGTTCCGTAACCTTTCAGCTCGAGTTACAAAATCATTTTCAGTGCCTAGAATTTTTTTTAGCATAAGCAATGCAGTGGACGATATAAATAACAAGCTCGTGGAAACTGTCCATGGGGTCGGAGCTAAGTTTTGCAAGATCCGCCGCAGAAGAAACACTCTCCGATCACACTCTTAATCTCATGGTTGTTAGACGGGAAATGAAGTTGCAGATTTAATAGCATACAGGCAACTAAACAGACAAATCTCCAAACGCATGCGGCGGGACTTACGCAACTTTAATACTGCTCGTATTGAAGAAGCTATCAAGCGGAACCAGGGCCCCAAAGTCTTTGCCAGAGATCTGTCTGCCAGAAAGTGCCAACTGCCGAAGCTGAAGACCGAATATGGCAGCTTCGTTTCCGAGATACCTGAGATTTTGAGTGAGATTGAGAGGTTCTATGGGCAGCTGTACACGTCATCGTTGGAGCCACACGCAAGTGTGAGTAACGATCCAAGATCAAGTCTTATCCGACGCTGTTCCGATGATATCCCGGACGTCAGTTTGAGCGAGATTAGAATGGCTCTCCAGCACCTTAAAAACGGCAAGACCCCAGGTGAGGATGGAATTACAGCGGAACTTCTGACAGCGGGTGGAAAACCGGTACTTGAAGTCCTTCAGAAGCTCTTTAATTCCGTCCTCCATGGTAGCACTATATCGGAGGCGTGGAGCAGAAGTGCGGTGGTGTTGTTCTTCAAGAAAGGCAACAACGCTCTCTTGAAGAACTACAGACCGATTTCCCTTCTGAGCCGCGTCTACGTGCTGTTTTGGAACAAGCCGGTTTTCGAAAAGGCTTTAGCATCATAGACTATATACGTACCCTTCGGCAAATTGTACAGAAGACCGAAGATCACACACTCTGCCACTTTGTCTTGCGTATGTGTACTAAGATTGATTCCGTCGAAATTCGGGCAGTCCTGCAGTCCCTCCAGCGGTGCCAAGTGGACTGTCGGAATATCGAAATGCTGAAGTGCAGTACAGGGTACGAAACCTATCCAACTGCAGAGAGGTGTAAGACAGGGTGACGTAGTATCCCCGAAACTCTTCACCGCTGCATTGGAAGACGTTTTCAAGCTACTGAACTGGAAAGGATACGGTATCAACGTCAATGGCGAGTACATCACTCACCTTCAATTTGCCGACGATATATTCCTTATGGCAGAATGGCTGGAGGACATAAGCACTATGCGCAATGACCTCAATAGCGTCCCAACGGATAGGTTTTAAGATAAACATGGACAAAACGAAAATTATGTCATGTCAGTTGTAATAAAAATTATGTCAGGTAGTTGTTGGGAGCACTAAGCTCGAAGTTGTTGACGAATATGACCTGGGACAAATAATCCGACTAGGTAAGTCCAACTTCGACCAAGAGGTCAATCGACGGCTTCAACTCGGCTGGGCAGCGTTCGGGAGATTACGACATATCTTCTCGTTAGACATAACTCAGAACCTCAAAACTAGATTGTTCAACCAGTGCGTGTTGCCAGTGATGACCTACGGATCTGAGACGTGGTCCTTCACTGCTGGCCGTATGAGGAAGCTCAAAGTCGCACAGCGAGCTATGGAAAGGACAATGCTCGGCGTTTCTCTGCGCGATAGACTTAAAAACGAGAATATCAGCAGTAGAACCAGAGTAACCGACATACTCGTAGCCCAAAGAATTAGTATACTGAGGTGGCAATGGGCCGGCCATATAGCTCGAAGAACCGATAACCAATGGGGAAGAAAGGTTCTCAAGTGGCAGCCTCGTACCCCCAGGCGAAGTTTAGGGCGTCCCCCCACTAGATGGAGTGACGACATGGTAAGATATGCAGGAACTCGATGGATGCAGGTGGCTTAGGACCGTGCTTTGTGGCATTCCTTGGGGGCGGCCTATGTTCAGCAGTCAACTTGTAAAGGGCTGTAATGATGATGATGATGAACGTCGCTTAATATCTTGCTGAGGGGATAATTAAACAAATGTGACAATACACATGAAAACTGGGCCGGTGGGTTACAGCAAAGAAATGGCCAATTATCCCAGTTCGTTTTATTAAGGCTTTAACTAGCCTGAATGACCTTGACGAAACGGCGATCGCAGAGATTTTAGCCGATGTCATGTTATAAAAGTGCAAAAATTAATAGACTACAGAGATGACGATTATATAAGTGACATACTGCCTGTTATGCTTGCGCATCACTGAGAATTATGTCGCGGTTACATATCTTCAATTACATTGTGCTGTAGCTTTGTCCGGTAGGCGTCACGAGCTATCAAGTGTTCAAGTTTCAAGTACGTAAGAGTTTTTTATTATATATGTTAAATCGTATTTATTTGGATCGTATTAATAGATCTGGGTTAAAGCGTTCGCTGTAAATTTTCCCGGGTTTTGATCCCCGACAGTACGAATGAAATTTGTAAAATAAAAAAAGAGTCCTTTGCCCAGTAGAGGGACTTGTATAGCCTATTACTTTACTTTGTAGCAATATTTATGTATTCGTTTCAGACATAGAAGGGTACCTTATGCTGACAAAAATATCATGTGGAGGCGACGAAAACGTAAAACATCTTTGTACCTAGATAAAACGTTCGAGAAATTGTCAGTTATGTCATACGCCACATTTTCTATAGAGCGTAGAACATTGCAGATAGGGCAAAATAAAAAATAATCCAAAATATTATGGGAACTATTTATTAATAATATATACATTTATAGGTATTTATAATAAAAATAACGAACAAGCTGCAAGGTTCAACTAATAATGTTTTTTGTAAACACAATCGTAAAATTCCTGTTTTAATTTTTACCAACGGTTAATTGACGAAACGTAGTCAAGATCACTTCATATAAAATATATTTAATTAAAATTGACACGTGACCTATTTGGCCTTCTACTTAAAACTCGGCGGAAATTTGAAAAGAAGATTTTGTCTTTTCACACAAGTATTGTTTACAACTGGTGTGGTTTCGAAAAGCGTGATTAAGTGTCAGCGGTATATAATCAATTAAATACTGAACTTTTTTGAAATTTATTTTTTTGTTTATTTT